AGTATATTCATTTTCAAATGTGTGCACCCTCCTCCTCTCAGCCATCAGTGAGGGGCAGTATTGAGCGTTAACGACTAAATGGGTCAAACAGCAGCTCGATGAACTGTGGTCCCCACGGTCGTCACAAAACCAACCCTTACATGACACACACACACATGACATTATATTGCATTTTTGTAAACCGACTTTTTTTATTTTCGGTCTAGTCCTACAGTCAGACGTAGCCGTTTGAAACTCTGTGAATCTTAATGAATAAATAGCTAAAGGTTAGCGGCTAATACAGTACAGACAACAGTCTGCTAAAGTATATGCCAAAGTTGATTAAAACGTAGCAAACAAAGCACGAGGTTAGCCAAACTAGCGTTAGCTGGACCCCGTTAATATTTTCATACTTTGATAGCAACTAAGCTAATGAATCTCGTGGCTGTATTATGAGGTAAAAAAACGTACTTTTCCTGTACTTTCATTTGTTCCCAAGAAGAAAAAGTCCGCAGCCTCAAACTGCACATTCCTCACAGGGAGAAAAAAAGGGAAGTGAACCCATTGTCCATTGATCCCCGCAATTCTCAACACAACACAAAGGCTGGGAACGCTTAACTGGGTCACCTGCTCTTCAGGAACCGGCGGCAGAGACCGAGCTGGGCCTCCAGTGAATGTTGGACCTGTTCTGACACCACACCAACACCAGGAGAACCATGAATATTATGTAGTGTGTGTGAAGAATTTTGTTTGGGAAAATACTATCGTTGTGGGGACGGGGTCCCCTGATGAGAGGGACATTTTAAGACTCACAGTTCAGTCTGGAGTTAGGATTAGAATTAAAGCCAGATTAGAGCTAGGGTATGGATTAAGATTAAATATATACTTGTTTAAGGTTCTAGGAATCGTATCACGTCTATTTGAATTGCTCACAAAACCAGTGTGTGTTTGTGGACCTGGTTTACTTAACATGTGGGGACGTTAGAAAAAATCCCGACTTAGTGGTGACACGTTGTCCTAGTGGTGATTTTTATATATATATATATATATATTTATCCAGAGAAAGAGAGAGTGTTTTGAGGTTGAAGATTTAGTTTAGAGTTAGGATTAGAATTAGGATAACAGCTGGGATTAGAAATACAGAATATTATAATTCTTAAGATTAGGATAAGGGGTATAACGTCTATGTGATGTGATCAAGAAACAAAAAGACTAGTGTGTGTGTGAGTGTGTGTGTGTAGGTAGTGGTGTGTTTGACCGGTGGGTAATCCTGCGTGGCGTTCCGTAATCAGACAGGTCAGGCATTCAGGCGACTGTAAAAGGAGCTGATCGGCTGATCCTCCATCAGACCTGAGGAGCTGTGACAGCACCTTGCATACTAATGTGGCTGTTCTACTTTAGTGCCAGCAGCTGGGTCAGGGAAGACTGGAGCCTGAAGAAATTTAACTATTGCTGTCCTATATTTCTCCCTGTGAGAGGAAATAACTGCAGTTCACAGGAGCTCAGGCGCCGCCTTCACAGCCGCCGATGTAAAACAGCACAGAGAGACGGCAAAAAGAAGCTGCAGCCGAGCACCATTCCACTAAAAAAAAAAATCTAAGTGGAAACTGATTAAAAATTCTCTCCAAACACTGACTGTGTGCAAAACCGAAAGCACCAGCAGCACTTTCCCATAAAAAAGGGCCAGTTGTGCCACAGCCTTTGTAGTTTAATTGAACCTAATTGAGCTTCTTAGCGTTTTTCATTTTTTGGTGAACACAACACTGACGTTGAGGTGGGTGATGGTGCGGGCGGATGAGTCAGAGTCAGAGTCTTCTCCCCAAAAACTCCACATTCACGCAGCTATTTTTAAAGGAGGTATTGATTGTATCCACGCTCCGACAAACACGCTACAGTCAACGTCTGCACTTTGCAAATGTTTCCAGGATCTGATGGAGAAAATAAATTATTTTCAGGCCGACGTTAAGAGCAGCTACAACCATCGCTCACTCCACTCCGACAGTTTCCGCAGATGCATTTGCAGAAACCCATTTCTTCGGTGTATTAAACTTGCACAGGCTGCTCGCCGTCTACGTGGGTTTTTAAAAAAAGGCCAGAGTATAAATGAACAACACCACCGGCTGCTGCTGCTCGGGCTGAGAACAGATGAGGCTTCGTCCAAGCTGCAGGGAAATGACATCCTTCACATCACCAACCACTTCAGTCCATTTACTGGGGAATTCCTCTCCACATAAAAACTGTCTTTAATGAATTACACGGCAGATATGGCAGATAAACCCCATGATAACTACTTGAAAAAAAAATAGAATAACCAGACATATCCTAGACAAAAACATAGTCAGAATTACAAAAAAAATAGTCAAACGATAGCAAGCAGGCTGCTCAGAAAAATCAGCAATGTTTAGCCAGAAAAGGCTGCTCAAAATCAACCGAAAGACTATTGAAAAGAAATCCAACATATATTTTGGTTTTCTCTGAATAGCTAAAAACTGGGCTATAGTCAAATGGTTACGAAAATGCAGTTAATGGGTATAAAATATAAGCTCAAAAATTCTAAGTTTGCCAAAACAATATGAATATGTTAGCTAAAATATATCAAACTAGACCAAAGATAAAGATGAGCCGAAGGTGGACCAAAATATTTTACAAACACTTATAAGACAAACTACCCAAAGGCTGACAGTTTGCAAAAGTCAGATAAAATTTAGCAAACAGAACCAGAGGTTAGCCAAAATAACTTACACTAGCCTTTTACTTAAATATGTTAACCAACAAGTTAACCAACAATATAGTGAATATAACCAGAGGGTACAAAACACATTTAAAGCTCAGTCAGGTTATACTATCTTCAATGTATAAAGACAGGCAAACAAAGCCAGAGCTTAGCAACAAAACGTGAGGTTTGTTAAAGAGACACAGGACTTGAGCTAACAACGATACAGTAAACATATCCAAAGTTTACCTCTCAAAAGTTAAACGTTTGCAAAGAAAGAAGCAAACATCAGCTACAACATAGCAAACAAAACCAAAGGTTAGCAAATATAATTAGCTTAAAAAGGGTAACCACAGTAAACAGAAGCTATAACCAGCCACCTGTTCAATCACAGTTACTCTAAAATCCCAATTAACCCAAAGAAATATAAAATATGTAACAAAGAAGCAACATAACAACTACAGCTAAAAGCTAGTTAGCAGTTAGCGTTGTGCTAACTCCCCTGAACAGAAGTAATTTGAGTTTGTGGGAACAAAGGATTTTTGATTTCTGTTTCATTTTACTCTGTTTAAAGTCACCAGTATGACAATATCAAATTCCCAAGGACGTATTCTTACAATTATACCCCAGAATTAAATAACTCTGGGGTATAATTATAAGAATATGACAGTTGAGATTTTATATTGTGATTAAAAAAGCAGATTTTAAAGGCTAACATTGATGTAGCTTGAATTTTTTTTTATGACACTGATTCCAGGAAATGGTGACACGACTGTGACGTCAGCGCTGACCTCAAGTGACCGGCTCGTAAAATACATTTAAAAAAACGATCTGCACTTAAGTTGAAATCATTAAAAATTAAAAACTGATTTGAAAATCTCAGACTATGACCGGACACGGAGGACTATTCCTGGGCCTGTTCTTTAAATTAAAGTTTGATTCCGGACTAGTCCGTGTACTGCCATCATGACCGGAAAATGTAAAAAAAAAAAAAAAAAACCTGAAATGTAAATCATTCTGATTGGTCCAGACATTCAGCCCATTCAGTGTAGCCCGTGGGCTGCAGCTGCTTCTGTGTTTAAACCTCTGGTTTCAAACCCTCAAACTGCTCACACCGTGAGACGACGAGGCCCCAGGACGGGACAGAGATGTTGCCACAAGATGGCCACGTCCTTTTCTTATATAGGGTCTACGGCTGTGAGCAGCAGCCCAGCTCCTGCTGGACAGAACATGCACTACACCACAGTTGGAATATACAGTAAATCTGATTTTCCTCTGGGTCAGCAGAAAGTACAACTGTCTTCCACTGGTTGTGTGTGTGTGTACCATAAAGTCTCCCTAATATCACACTGTCTTCCACTGGTGTGTGTGTGTGTGAATGTGTGTGTGTGTGCACGCAGATCCTGTCATCACATCCACACAGTCCAAACTCCAAACTTTTCCAGCTCGGATCCAAAACACACTCAGGGTCCGTCAGTCATGAGGCCCGGACAGAACCATTTGTGTGAATCCAGTGTGTGTGTGTGTGTGTGTGTGTGTGCCCTGAATGAAGAGAGAGGAGAGAGAGAGAGAGCAGGCATGGAGGGAGGGGGGAGAGAGGGAGGTTAGTGACAAGCAATGAATTTAAGGCATGCGTGAAATAGAAAAGGCTGGAGTGGAGAGGAGAGAGAGGAGACACGGGAGCTCCAGCCTCCTGCTCCTGCTCCTCTTGCTGCTCCTGCTGCTCCTCAAGTGTCTGTTTCCCACACCAGTCAAGGTTAACAAGCCTCTGGCTGGTGTCTGGAAAACGCCAGCAGCAGCAGCAGCAGCAGGAGGAGGAGGAGGTGATGGTGGAGGTGGTGAAACTACACAGTGGTGATGATGAGGATGATGATGGTGATGATGATGATGATGCAGACAGGCTCAGAGGAGCTACTGTGATGCTGCCCCCCCCCCCGCGACCCCCCTCTAAATATTCCACATACATCCTTTCCCCCACTCCCTACATTGTGCATCACGAAAACCAAACACGAGGTGGAAATAAATGTGCCTGATTTTTTTTATTTTATTTTTTATCCTCCTATTTTTTTTAAATAAATAAATAAAAATTGCAGCAACACGAGGTTTAAAAAAAAAAAAAACTCCCACTTAATCCGCCAGCCTTAAGAGAAATAATCCAACATTCTTTTCCTGTTGGATGCGGATTCGTTGCAGCGAAAGCAGAACCAAAAAGCAGGCCAAAATAAAATGATTAAAAAAAAAAAATTCAAATAACAACAATGAAATGGTACGTTTACGGAGCTAACACGAGGTAGAAAAGCGTTCCTACCTTTCTCTCCATCACTGCGCGCTTCTTCTTCTTCTTCTTCTTCGTCTTCTTCTTCTCTCTTTTTTGGGAAGGCAATCTTCAACAACAGCAACTGTGAGCAGCAGGATGTGTGTGTGAGTGTGTGTATGTGATTCGCAGGTTCCCGGTTCCTGCGCGGCGCAGAATCCTTCCACTCTCCTCAACTTCCACACGGCGTCTTCTCACTACACACACATTCACTCAAACACACTCACGGGCAGCGTCTCCCGCCATCACTTCCCCATGTTCGTGGAATGGACGCAGTGTGTGTGTGTGTGTGTGAGAGAGAGAGAGAGAGATAGTGTAAGTCTGAGTGTGTGTGTGCGTGTGTAGCGCCGGCCTGTGGGACGACAGAGCTACAGCCACAGTCAGAACCAAGCGCCAGAGCCGGGGATAGAGGCCACGGCGCATGCGCCATCTCTGCTGGAGAGACGGTATAATAATGAGAAATCACCACAGGCAGGGAGTGTCGACAAATTACTCTCAGGAGTGGATTTTTTGGAGAGGTGGTAGAAAACAGGTGACGCTCCTTCTGGACACAGTTAATTAAACATAAATTAAACCTTTAACGATCGAGTGGGAAATGATAGAAATAAACAAACAAAAATAAATTAAAACATTTAACTGATTTAGGATTTTGGCTTCTGGAGATAATTCCTGATCATTTTCCAGTTTTTTTTTTTTAAATCTAACCTTTTTTTTTTTTTTTTTAACTCTAACTGAAAATCTAATGTGTAGTTTGGGTTGACGCCTAAATTATCATTATTCTAGTCTAGTGTTGTGTCGTCTTTCTCCAGGTCATCCACTGACGTCTGGTCCACAGTCCTCCTGCACAGTGTCTCCTTCCTGCTCCCGACCCCCTGGTTGGGAACCACTGGACCCAAGTTATTTTTTTTCAGCAAAGCATATGCATGTGAGAAGAGAACGTCCACAGAACTGTTCTGTTACGGTGCTTTTAAGGAAACCTGTTTAGTGTCGGTTCCTGACAATAATATGTTTTTAATGACCATGGTGGCTCCAGGCTCCGGGGTCAAGGATGGTGGGGGGGGCCTTAAAATAAACAAGACCGTACGTCCGGTATAAATAACTATTGATACGGCGGTGACATGTAACTGCTTCGAGTTAAAGTCATATCTCTCCATCAGAGACCCCCTTTTAGAACCTTCTTTCAAACCAAGTCTTAATCACGTCAATTTATTGTATTTACTCTAATTTACAAAATACATTCTCTCTCTTTTTTTCTCTCTTAATTTTTTACAGTCATTGTTTTGTTTTTTTACTGTATTTTCTTTTTTGGTGCAAACTGTTTTTGTATGTGTACATATATATATATCTTACACACCTATAAATATATGTATATAAATATACATATAAACATATATGCAAATATATATTATGTAATATATGTGTAATATGTAATATATATGTAAATATATATTTACATATATATATATATTTACATATATATATATATTTACATATATATATATATTTACATATATATATATATTTACATATATATATATATGTATGTGTGACCTGAAAAATCCTCCAGGTACGACTTCAGTAGTTTTCAGCAGCAGCATCTGGGTCATTACCGTGTCTCTGCTCCAGCGTTGCTTTGCGCAGTGCAGCCCACTCCTACCTCACCCACAAACTCAATCAGAGGAGATTTACTACTGGATCCTCGGCTCAATATCAACAGGCTAAAACGACTGATGTCCCACCGCAAAACAAACACACTGGTAGAGGAAGTCTGAAATATCATGATGAGTTCAACCTGGAAAGAAGAAGAAAACTGCAGCACAGACGCCATGAGGTGACGCTGATGAGCAGCAGCGTTATCATCACTTTAGTCTCGTAAATTAGCAATATATTTCTCCCTATATTAACCTGGCTGTGGTGAGGCTCAGGTGGAGGGAGAGACTCAGCAAACACTTCAGGTCAAACTCAATATTAAAATTCAGCCTTCACTCCGCTCCATTCCTCCGACCAGGTAATGAAAACCATCCCACCTCAGAGTTTTGAAGTCAGAGGAACTTTTATTGATTTTTGATTTGCAGGATTATAAAGAAGAAAAAAAAAAACCTGCTATAAACGGACTTTATAGCAGATGAAAAGTGAAGCGAATCCTGATGTTATCTTCTCGTTTTTTTTTTGTTGTTTTTTTTTCAGTCCGTGACGTCAAAATAATCTACGACGGGCTCCTCTTTCACCATCTTGGACCAGGAGGTTCCACTGGTGACCCTGCAGGAGAACAGAGGAGATCAGAGCGTCAGTCAAAGGTCGTTGTCTGTTGTGACAGACTGTAGTGTACGGATCGAGGTACGAATGAGACCAACTGACTTGCTGCTGTGCTGTTTGGTGTGAGCGATGGGGGGAGGGGCCCTGAAAGCCGTTTCCCTTTCTATCAGTGACGTCAGCGTGGAGTTGGGACAGGCCGACTTCCCCCTGGACAAGACATCGGACATCTGTAGCTGTGATTTCATTACACAATAAATTAAACTTGAAAAAAAAAAAAAAATCTCACTTCTGAGCGGTGATGACCACGTTGCGCTTGGGCTCGCTGTCGTAGCTCACGCTCTCCACGCCGTAGACCTCGGCCAGATCGTGGACGATCTTGCGGTGCTCTCTGTTCATGGGGGAGAAGGAGTGGCTCCTCTTTGGGTGTTTTCCCTGCACACATTAGCCAGGCGTGTCCATTAGGATGCATTTATGACCCTCAAAGAGCGACTGCTGTCCATCTGCACCACAGACGTGTGCGTCAGCAGTGGACGAAGCCGATTGGTTGTCAGAGTGAAACCGCGACAGTGAATGGGCTTGACTCCAGAGTCAATATATACTTTTCTCTACAGCTCTTGATCTTAATCACCAGTTTCAGCCTGGAACCAGGGAAACATGACGATAATTGTATGATGTGAAATACTATGATAAGGAACAGCAGAACGCACGAGAACGCGCAACCGCCGTTTACGTGATTGACAGCCGGACGCCGTAACAGGAGTCTGGCTGGAGGCCACGTCTAATATCAGGTTTCAGGTCCTTGTAGTTGCGTCACTGCTGCCTTTGAATCATCTTTCCTCACCAGTTCTGGTCCAGGCCTAAGAAGCTGAGACAGTAGCTGCTCCCAGCGCCTCCTACAGGAGGAAACTCAGACTTCCCAGAGCACTGGGGTCATGTGTCCTAAAAAAAAAATGAGGTCTAATCTAAAACAAAACAAAACAAAAAACAACATTCTTGTTCCTGGAAGTTTACCATCAAACACTAGGATAGTGGTGGCCAAACGTTTTCTGCAGCGCCCCCTATCTCATAGATAGAGAACTACCGTCTGACTCTAGTTAAACTGGATCAGAAGACCGTCATTTACCGGGGTTCTTCTGACTGAAGGCTACAGTTTGACTGGAGGGACCGTGTACGAACATTTTAACTCCACTCCAAAACATTTTCTGTATCAACACAGTTCCCAGAAAGAAAAAAAAAGGTCACATAAAGCAGCACAGAGCAATAAAACAAATCATTTATTTCCTAAAGATTCCTTTCCAAGAGTTGTTCTATTCCTATAAACTGACTTTTTCCTCTTTTTCCAACATTGGGAATATAAATGAAAACATAAATCTGAGAACCAACGGTAAACTTGGAGACATGAACCAAAGACTGAAGCTTGAAATTGAACCTTTTATCAATAATTGGAACTGATCTGCCAATCACACCAAAGGACAACGCCCACTTCATTTGCATTAAGTCACAACGCAAATCATCCAAACCTGAACCAAACCTCAAACTCGGCTCTAAGATGGAACCAGGATCGATCGCTAAACGTTAGCACGTGTGCTCACGGCCGCAGCAGTGTTCCAGAATCCTGTGGAAGGTTTTCTGTGCGACTGGACCCCAGTGAGGGCGTCTTCACTTCTGAGTATGTATTATACAGTACGTGTGGCCTATTTTCTGTTGGCAGAACAACTGCTGGCATAAACAGAAACGCCGCGAGTTCTACTCCAGGGCCAGAGGCTTGTTAGAAAGTTATGGCTGAAGTTTTATGACGCCATAAAATAATCTGGTTTTCGAGACAGGACCTGGAGACCCCACACCAAAAAGAGGACTTCACAGAGGCAGACCCCACAGTGGTGATGTCACATATCAATGATTACCATTTAAAAAAAACAAAAAACTATTTTATACTGCACTCAAAAATACAAAAAAAAAAATTGTAGCTTTATAAATTAACCAAAAGTTCTTATCTTACACTGCAAATGTGCACATGGTGTCAATAAAACAACGTTAATTCAGTGAATAAAACAAGGAAAACGTCAGATTATGGCCTGTAAATGTTGCAGTTTTCAACTCAATGATTTTTACAACGACAATTTTTTACTGATGTGGTAAATTAAACCAGAAAAGCCAAACGTTTCCTGGAGTTTTAGCCCTAGAGTAGGAAAATGGTAGTACCCACATCTTCCATTAGGAGGTTGTGCTCTTGACATAAGCGCATAATGCTTACACCAAAAGATGCATTTCTTTAATTTCCTTGTAAGTTAGTCTGACATGTTTCTCACACTTTTTTCCTGTTTTTTCCTCCTCTATAACGCTCTGGCGCCACCCAGAGGAGGCACACCTTACTTGGGTTTTCAAGTGATTTTTGCCCACAGATAAGATTCTTTCCAACCACCGCACCACTTACTTCGACTCTACTGGACGAAGGAAAGCGACCTTTATCGTTTTACCTTATTAACCAGTTCCACCAGACTCTTGATCTCTTCTTCCACATCTGTGACAAACTTCAGATCCTTCCTAAAAAGGAAACAGAACAAAAAGCGGAGGAGTTTATTGAGCATCAATCAGCGGCGAGAACGTGTGTAATGACTTAGAAGCCAGAGACAAAAGACAGACCTGGCGTCCTCTTTGAGGCTGTCGCTGTAAACAGATGAGGAGCGGACATTGAAGGGGTCAGAGGAGGAGTCGATCTGCAGGGCCTCCGCCAAACGCCGGTTCCTCTCCAGCGCCGCACACTCCTGGTCACACTCAAGCCTGAGACCAAACCGACAAAGATGCATGATTTTCAGATTGGTTTTTTTTCTCTTTCTTTTGGTAAAATAATGCTAAAAAAAGCTAACCCTGACGCTAACACTGAAAAACCTTTCTTCACCACTAGCATCGGTTTCACAATGGACGTTATTGTGAGAAATGAGTCAGTGCTTGGACTGAAAATCCCCCTGGCTCGGCCGCTCTACCTGGCTTGTTTCAGCTCCTTCTTGGTGAGGAGGGGGCTAATGTCCATGGAGCCTCCCAGCTGCATATCAGAGAGTTTACTGGCCGTGGCGATGGCTGCGTACCTGCAGCACATAAACCCATGATTTAGGCCCTTTCATATTCACGTTAATAAGGCAGGGAGAGAGAAAAGTCCAGGCCTGACCTCTGATATAACCTGGCAGCTTCTGTGCAGACCACCGTTTCCTTCCGTCGACCACAGTCACACTGTACGGGAACCTGTGGAAAAGCATGAGAATATCAAACAGGAGACAGGAGTAAATGGGGCTTCAACATTATCCAGACGCAACCCTATTAGTTAAAAAAAAAAATTAAAAAAACACCACTGCTCATTCCTGGAAACTCCTGCAGCTGTGAAAGGTCTCATTGTTTTATGAGCTCTCCAGTTTGAAGCACTGACATTAATATGTTTTCATTTCACCAGAGTTAATGACTGGTGACACTGACATGATGATGGATTTTTAACAGAAAAGGAGCCGAGAGAGAGAGACAGAGAACGCAGATGTTAGACATTAATATTCACACACTACAGCCTGCAAATTTTTGCTGCCGTTTTGCTCAACTCATGTCTCTTTATCTCCATAGCACACCCTACAGGGGAGAGAGTGGCACTACATGAAAAACAACTCAAACTTTTTATTCTGTAAACTGTAACTGAACTCCCAGAGGCTCCTTGGATCACGGCTTTAACGCGGTGAAAACCATCTGGAGGCGTTTGTCAAGCGTTTGTCAGTCAGTCAAAGGCCAGCTGTTCTCAAACGACGCAGGTCCGTACCTTGGCAGTGCAGGTGGTTTGCGGGCAGCTGCTGCCTTTATGACAGGGAACGGCGCACGGGTGGCCGCAGTCTGGACGAGGCAGCGTGCAGCGCTGCTGGCAGCTGTCCTCCGTCAGGCAGTCGCCCCGGTGGCAGATCCGTCTGCATCGGTGGATTTGGCACGGCAGCGTCTTGTTGCACACCAGGCCGCAAGAAATGTCTTGCAGGTGACAGGGGATGTTGCTGCGTTGCTGTAAGGGGGTGGGGGGAAATGAAATAGTGGTCACGTAGGTCACGTGGAGTCATCGTAAAACAGTGACTCGTATCGGCGCGGTGAAAGACATCGTACCTCGTGTTTGCCCATGCACCACTTCTGGGTGAGGTACGTGCAAGGTGGACACTTGTCCTCACTGTGGCAGTTGTGGAACACTGAAGGAGAGGAGGACGTGAGAGAGGAAATGTGTCTCGACCATCTGAGTCACATGTCAAACTCAAGGCCCGTGGCCTGAATACGGCCCGACGTCTCATTTTATGTGGCCCACTTGTGGTTGTTTTAAACAAAACACTAATAATGATTACTGAAGTGGTCAAATTCTGTCAATAGTAATTATATAAATATATAAAAATATATATGTGTATTTATATAGTTATATGTCTATAAATACATATATAAATATATAAATATATATATACTTCCAAACTTAATTAACCTTTGACATGGACAGCATTTTCAGCCCTTCTTCTAAGTTTAAATCCAGTGAGAACAGTTCTGGTCATTCCCCACCTGGGTGTTCACACTCGTGCCGTCTTGTGCACAGGTTGGTGCACTCTGGTGGTTTGGTGCCACAGGAGATGGGTGGATACAAGACCGTGAGTCCACAGTGACACGTCAGCTCGTCGAAACCTGCAGACGGAGAAAAAGGATGACAGAAAAATGACGAGAGGAGGAGAAAGTATTTCTTCTAGTCTCCCAAACGAACAATGTGTTATTACGCAGGACTTGACTCATATGGACTGTGGGACCAGCCTAACCGCTGTGGGACTCACCGGACTGCCAGCAGGGTTCACAGTTTCCACGGTGACAGGGCTCCTGGCAGCGGTGGAGACCACAGCTGAGCTTGTAGCCACAGATCAGTTGACATCTGTGCTCAATGGTCTGAGTAAATGGACACAGAGGAAGAGGAAGAAGAAGAAGACGAAGAAGAGACGTTATTATTATTATAAGAGCAGCAGTGAAACAAGGTATTAAAGGTTTTAAAAAAAAGAACATTCAAACCAGACTCTGACTCTTTATCATGTCATTAGAGTCCGAGTCCAACGAGTCTTCAGTGAATTTGGATAAAGGTTTTCACTTGTATTTAATGGAAGCTCATGTACAGTTTTGTTTCTCTGAGTAAGAAGGCATTTTTAAATAAAATGTATATTTTTAAATTCACTTTTTTTTAGAAACAAGGTGAACAGAAATGGCTCTGGACAGAATATTTTTTTGGATAGAAAATAAAACACATGCAACACAAATAATATGTTTTACCTTCAGTTACAATTGTACAGCAAGAAAACCATCAGAGCATCTTTTATCTTTTATCTGTTATTTTAGTATAATTATATGACCATATAATCAGTAGGAAAATCATGAAAAGTAAATTAAGACCTCAGGTCAGAGGTCAGATTCTCACCACACAGCACAACTCGCCACATTTGTGTCGACCGCAGGAGCGCTTCTTGTTACAGCGTTTCAGCGCCTCTCGCAGGTGAGCACCCACTCCCCTGGAATTAAAAAATCAAAAAAAAAACATTACACACACACACACACACACACGTTACCATGAGAATAAATTCACAAAGAGTTGGACTCTCACCTTCTTTCTGGATCGTTGCACATGGAACCTCCTGAAACAAAGAACCGTGGTGAGCACAGTAACATGAACCACGTGTTTGAGTTAAGTAATATCAATAACCCCCTCCCCCCTCCCCTCCAGTTCTCCCATCTGTTAAATAATAACAGGAAGATGTAAAAATAAAATAATCCCCCACAGAATTCCTCACTTGGCCTGAGGAAGATCTGTGTTTGTTTGAAGAAGAAGAAGGAGAAGTTCCTCGTCTCGGATGTCGTGCAGAAAACAAAAACAAATGACAGTGACGCCAGACCGTACCTTGGTCTTAGAACCACATCTGCATCTGATGGTGGAGGTCAGGGAGCAGGGTCCACAGCTGCCCTCGTGACACAGGTTCTCACACAGGTGGATGGTGTCTGTGAAGCAAACGCACATCAAATTAAAACTATTTGATGTTTATTTTGGAATCCAGTCGTGGGCCGGACATGACGGATTTGGCCCGCAGGCCGCCAGTTGAGGATCGCTGGTCTAGAGGTTAAAAACATGACATCTATGCTTACTAAAAATAAAAATCCAAAGCAGCTGCACAAATATTGTTTTTAAATGTAGGCCTTAATCTGAGTAACAAATGTTAGGAATATTAATCCTTAAAAAAGACCAGTCATATAATTTAATTTCTATTTTCAGATCATTTGTGATGATTTTGTTTCAATTCCATTCCTAACTAGAGGTCAACATCAGACACTTTGTCACAGTTTTTCTGTTTTTAAAATTTCCGTGCGTGTGTTTAGTGAGATGCTGCTTCTTCTTCTTCTTCTTTCGACTCACCACTGGAACCACAGGCCAGGGGTTTGTTGCACGTCTTCCCACAGGACGGAACAGGGTCGGAGCAGCTCTGTCGTTCTGCATAGCCCAGTTCCAGGAGTTTGAGCAGCTGGGTCTGACCACAGGGACAGGTCTTCACCAGGGTGGGAGAGCGGGGACACGGCTGACAGGGACCACGGTGGCACAGCTGCTCACAACGGTGGGCTTCACAGTCCAATGTCCTGCACGGAGGAGGAGGAGGAGAAGAAGAAGAACAAGGGAGAGAGAAGACGAAAAGGAAAAAGTGTAAGGGGGAGGAAAAACAGAACGTAGAACAAGAATGAAATCTCCAAGTCGTTCCCAACTACAGACAAAGTTTTCCTGATGACTTTAACTGGATGCTAATTCCTTAAAAAATAAACTACAGATAAAAAAACACAACCAACCATAGACCAGTTCAAATGAATTCCAACACAGAATGATCTACGCTTCTTCATAAATGTTTGACAAACAAAAGACTAGAAACTTACTTCCCGCACAGCTTTTCGCAGGAGAAATGTCCGACGCCGTCGAATCCTCCTCTGTCTGTCCCGCACAGCGCTTCACGAACCGTGACGCCGCAGTAACAGACTACAAGACATAACAGCAGGAGGCGTGAATTATGATGATGTTTGACCCACAGAAGACTTGATCACTGCATGTGACACCCACACTGCGT